ATGCAGTCAAAACATAATAATAAATAATCAAAAAACATTACATTACATTACATTTAAAGTGACTGAAAAAGCTCAGGGCGAAGCAAAATGCTTATATTTATGCCTGACCTTTTAAACAAATTAATCTACCCCTTTAACACAAATCTGTACAATTTAAGCAAAATAGAAGAAAAATATACACCATTTAGTCAAATAAGTTCACAATACTCTCACATTTACAACATAACTTATAAACTCTTGTAACCGTCAAAAATTATCTTCAAAACCATCCTTTTAAACAACAAAAATGTACCACAAGTTCTTACATTTACACCATAATTTAACCCCCACCACAGATATACATTTCCTTTTAACTTCTTTTTTTTTTGCCAAAGGAACAATAAATTTATTAACATCTCTAAAATCATACTTAGTTTCTACACAAGAAAAAAATGTTTGTATACTTTGTGGAAGTAACTTTAATTTAGCTTTATACATTATTTGCATTATTTTATAGTAAACTAAATCATTAACTTTCATAACATGTGCTTTTAAAAACAATGGATGTGTATGTGCCAAATAATCTGCCTTATTAATAATAAGTATTGCACATTTTTGTAAGAGAACTATTGCACTAACTAACGTTTGATCAGTCAGCCCCCAGACTTCCACACAGTATGAAATAGGTAGTATGAGTGAACAATAAATGATATGTAACGCTGCATAATTCAACATATGTCTTGATTTGTATAGTATGGTAATAATCTTAGAAAGTTTTCCTTTAATGTAATAAACATGCTGTCTCCATTTCATTTTATGATCAATAACCACCCCCAAAAATTTAATTTCTGTCACCCTTTCAATTTCAACATTCCATATTTTAAAGTTAATTTCTCTGTCAAGTTCCTTTTGATTACCAAATATCATGAATTTAGTCTTTCTTAAATTGAGTGATAGTTTATCAATATCCAACCAAGTCTTAAGGATTCCCAATTCTTTTTTATTAAGGGCAAATGTTTCTGTAAATTATTACCTGAACAACAAAAATTTGTATCATCTGCAAAAATTACAAATTTCAATAAATTAGTGACCTTACAAATATCATTAATGTAAAGTAAAAAACAAAGTTTTTGTCCAAGAACAGATCCCTGGGGAACACCACAAGTAACCTTCCTAAATTTTGAGTTTGTTTTATTGATGTCTACATATTGCTTCCTATTGTCCAAACAACTCCTCAACCATGAATAAGCCACTCCTCTTAATCCATACTTCTCCATTTTTTAAAATAATATACTGTGATCAATAGTATCAAATGCTTTTTGCAAATGAATAAAAATCCCAACAAAATACTCATAATTTTCCCTGGTTTCTATTATTTTTTCTACTATTTCCATAATTGCATATGCAGTTGTTCTTTTGGCTCCTGCACACTAACATAGAGTATCTGTGAATCAACTCGCTTTTAAATTTCTGTTTAAACCAGGAGTGGGGAACTCTGGTCCTCGAGGGCCGGTATCCTGCATGTATTTGCTCCAACTCTTCTGATTCAGTGATTGATTCACATGTTCTGCAGCTTTTCAGGCCCTGCAGAAGCTTGTTAATCACCTGCTATTGAAATCAGGTGGGATGATGCAGGGCTGAAACAAAAATATGCTGGATAGCGGCCCTTGATGGACCAGGGTTCCCCACCCCTGGTTTAAATGAAACAATCAAAAATTAATTTTTGGTTCTGTTGACAAATATCTGGGCCTTGGACCTGCTTGCTTAGTATGAGGATTGCGGTAAAGACTCTGACACTAGTCAGTGACTCGATGCAACCGGCTGGGTTCCTTAGATAGGAAACTTTTTATTGATTGGTTTGATGACCTGACCTGTATTAGAATGTTTACTGTGTGAAGGTCCTTGAGACGACTGGTTGTGATTTGGCACTTTATAAATAAACTTGAATTGAATTGACCTGTTTACCTCTGGCTGCTCTTTTATCTTAACAGATCCTGGATGTTTTCTAAAACAGCAGGAACCAAGCAGAACCTTTTAAGCTTGGATGACGTCACTGCTGGATTTCTTCCCCATGTTTGTTTTGAAGTTCATTAAAATGCTTTTGTTTTTTTAAATGAAGAAATGACAGAAGCGGACCAGAACCCTAATCGAGTCAGAGGCAAGCCCCGCCCTATATTACTACCCTAGACCCTTGCCCGACATGTTCTGGTTCTGGTGAAGTGGCGTCATTCTTCACTGACAAAGTGGCAGCTATAAGCAAACAGTTTACTCAACTGGCCACTCCTGAACATTCGCTACCACAAACTCTTTCTAGCCCAACCATCTCAAGCCCTACTGCTTCATTTTCCTCTTTTTCCCCTCTCACTGAGAACTGTGTGTCCAAGCTTCTCACGTGCAGCCGCCCCACTACATGCCCACTTGACCCCATTCTGACTAAGCTGCTCCAAGCCATTACTCCTACAGTAGCTGCAGCAGTCACACGTGAGCAACGCTTCACTGGCATCCGGTACATTTCCCACCTCTCTCAAGCATGCTCAGGTTAAACCGCTGCTAAAAAAAACCATCTCTTCCTCCAGATCATGCGGAGAACTACTGATCTATCTCTCTCCTCCCTTTTCTGTCCAAAATCATTGAAAGGGTGGCTTTCAATCAGATCACAGAATACCTCTCACCAAACTGTCTGCTTGACCCTTACCAATCTTGGTTCAAAAAGGGCCACTCCACTGAAACTGCTCTGTTAGCAGTGACGGAATCCTTAAAAGATGCTAGAGCGACTGCCAAATCCTCAGTGCTTATCCTGCTCGACTTATCGGCTGCATTTGACACTGTCAACCATGGCTTCCTTTTGTCCACACTCCCTAGCATGAGCATCACAGAGAAAGCACATGCCTGGTTTGAATCATACCTCACAGGATGATCATTCAGTGCATCTTGGCATGGACAATCCTCTACCGTGCACCATCTTGCCGCAGGAGTCCCCCAGGGCTCAGTACTAGGACCTCTTCTCTTTGCCATATACACCACCTCACTGGGTGAGATCATTCGATCACATGGCTTCTCCTACCACTGCTATGCAGATGACACCCACCTCTATCTGTCATTTCCACCGGACGACCACACAGTCTCTGCACAAATATCAAACTGTCTCTCTAACATATGAAAATGGATGAAATCCCACCATCTGCAACTCAGCCTCTCTAAAACTGAACTACCTGTCTTCCCAGCTAAACCATCCATACACCACAATATCTCATTCCAAAATGACTTCCTATCTCTGGCTCCTTCAAAGGCAGTTCGAAATCTGATTGTTGTGATTGATGAACACCTGACCTTTAAAGATCAAGTTGCCTCTGTTGCTCGTTCATGCCGCTTTGCGCTGTATAACATACGAAAGATCAGACCATACCTAACACAACATGCCACCCAGCTCCTGGTGCAATCTGCTGTCATCTCCCGCCTCGATTACTGCAATGCCCTTCTACCTGGTCTTCCAGCCTGGAGTGTGAGACCTCTTCAAATGGTCCAGAACGCAGCGGCGCATCTGGTCTTCAATCAACCAAAAAAAGCACACGTCACCCCTCTGTTCATTGAGTCATTGAGCTCCACTGGCTACCGCTAGCAGCACGCATCAAATTCAAATTGCTAACACTAGCATACAAAAGTCCGAGATGGTATGGCTCCCATCTACCTGAATCCTCTTGCAAAGGCTTACGTCTCGGTCCGGCTGCTCCGGTCATCACAGGATGGTCGGCTAGCAGTGCCTACACCACGCTCAGGACAATCCAGACTCTTCTCATGCATCGTTCCACAAATGTGGAATGGCCTTCCAAGCACTACCAGAACCGCGGCTTCCTTTACAATTTTCAAGAAACTCCTGAAGACCCTGCTCAGAGAGCATCTTCTAAACTAGCACCCTCCCTGCACCCGTCCCCCCCTCTCTACTGTCCACTCCTTTTTCCCTCCTCTCCATGATTGATGTCAAGTTTTTGTTGTTATTGTTGTTGTTAGCCTCAAGGGCAATATGCCAATTATCACTTGTAAGTCGCTTTGGACAAAAACGTCTGCTAAATACATAAACATAAACCCAGCAGCATGGGCCAGTTGTAGAAATAATTAAAGGCAAAAGAAGGAACTGCTAGAAGTTAAAAATTTAAATAGATTGGTTTTGTCACAGAACCGACTGAACCTCTCCTATTTACTGGAGCTGGTTCTGGTTTTAGATCCGAATGAGTTTGAGTCCTTAAGATCATGAGATTTGTCATTTTACTTTTTTCTTATCTTTTTTTAAACCATCAGAAATATCATACACACTTTTTGGTTCTGGTTTTGTTTTGTAACTAAAATCCTAAAGAAAAATGTTTAAAAGGTTTTTTATTTTATTATTAAATTTTTATTTGAAGTTCAGTTGGGTCACAGGGGTTCAGACATGGTTCTGAAACAGACAAAAATAACTGGAGCCAGCCCAAGGCATACGCGAACTAAGCGACTGCTTATGTTTTAATAAATTTAAATATCAACTAAATAGTATTTCACATGAAAAAAATATCTGTATAGTTTTCTATAGTGTCATTTTATTTTATTTTGTAGTGCAGCACTCTTTACACATTTCAAATTTTAAGAGCAAAAGATAGTAAAACTAAAGTTTTGAATTCAGTGTAGCTGAATTAATATACCACACTTAAATAACAGTCTACATTTTAAAATACAAGTTAGAGCGTTTTGTTGGTTTGCTGCTTCAAATCTTGAAATCAATATCCACTAAAACACAAAAGTTTGATGTAAGTTAATTACAAACATGCTAATCTAACACAAATGGTGCAGCCATAGGAACGGTGAATTGTCTGGTGGTGACTTGTTGCCCCCCCCCACCCCCACCCCCCGCCAAGGGAAACTTAGAGCTCCACAAAGGCTTGGGCCAGCCCTCAAAATAACAGAAAATAAAAAATATTTTGAGCACCTTTATTTTGTTTGAACATAAATCAGTTGATATTTAATGAATAAATAATTAAGCTTAATTTGTCTGAAGTTATTTTGCATTTTAAAAATCTGACAGAAAGAAAACGAGTCGGAACCAGCTTCAACTTTTATTTTCCACCACAAATAAATAAATAGAGTAAACAACAACAACATTAACCAAACAACAAACCGGTTCCGGCCCGCTTATGTTCAGGATCGGTTCTGGTTTTGTACATCAAATAGAACCGGCACCAGATTCTGGTGAAAATTATTAAACTTGGATAGAATTAATTTTTGGGTTCTGACAATCTGACCTTAAAATCAGGTTTCAGAATGATCAGACCAGAAACTTCCGAACTCATGAGTTCAAACCGAACCTTTTGTCAGAGTCTCGGTTCGGGCCTCACCAGCTCCAGGAGTAAATGTGTGCTAGCGCCTGCGCTCCTGGGTTCTGCTGCAGCAGTTCGCACGGTTCCGGGCCACAGGTGGCGTGCAGCAGCGGTGAATAGACACACAGAGGCAGACCTATTCCGGACCGGAATGTCGCCTGCTGGTCAAAGGGCTTCCCGTCCCGCAGCTGAACCGGGATAGTGACGCGGCGCACCGGAACCAGCTGTAGCGCTTTCTGGCGGCTTTCTGCCCGGGCCCGCTTCATCTTGTAGCGATGGTTCTGGAACCAGATCTTAACCTGATTCGGGGTGAGACGGATGAGGCCGGCCAGGTGCTCCCTCTCCGGTACCGAAAGGTACCGCTGCTGCCGGAAGCGGCGCTCCAGTTCGAAGGTTTGCGCTTTGGAGAAAAGCACGCGCCGCTTCCTTCCGCGGCTCTTCTGCGCCGAACCGAACAGGGACTCATCTGGTTCGGGAGATCCATGATCGGTTCCGAACTCTAGGAAAAAGAAAGATTAATCAGACTACGGTCAAAACTTTAATTCACCAGAAAGACGAATGAGAAAAGTTCTTGAGATATTTAGGACCAAAACCAGATCCTTTATCACAGACGCGAGGTTCGGGAAGTCCAGATTCTGGAGGTTCAGTATCTACGTTTTAGGTGTTCCTCTGCTCCAGCATACCTGCTTTAATCAGCAGGTGATTAACGGGCTGCCAAGCACGTGACTCAGGTGTTTCGGAGCAGAAAGAACCAGAACCGGGATTTCTCGCTCCTGCTTTATCCGAACTAAATGTGTTCAGTAGCCTATATTCCGCCCGGTGGTGTGCCGACACAAGTCACTTTAATAAACCCAGCCAACACACAAAACCGAACCGTACCGACAGAAAATGAACTGTAGTTACCGGGTTTGCGGTTCCACCGGGACCAGCCTCCCGCGCTGCGCTCACACAAACCCAGCACGACTTCCTCTGCGCTGACCTCTGCCGGGGCCTCTCTGGAGTTCTGATCCTCGGTACCGGACCTGCAGCTCCCTTTTGGGTTTGGCAGGTCCAGGATGTCTCGCACAGAGAATCCCGTCCTGTTGGTTCCAGATGGCATGGCCTCAAAATAACACAAGGTCCAGGGTTAAGGTTCGTAAAGTTCCGTTAACGAGCATCAGACCGCAGCGTGATTCTGTCCATGAAGCTGAGAACTGGATCAGACCAGAGGAGGACTTTTGAGGAGGACCAGGTCCTTTTAACGGAGGCGGGTCCAGAAGTCAGTCCGGTTCCGCCTGGCGAAGAGGAGAGGGAGGCTTCAGAGACCAGCAGAACAGCATGCCCGGTGTGTTTATTTTTCACTCATCAGACCCATTTCCTCCTTATTCTATAAATTATTCTAGAACCTGGTTCTGGATGAATCTAAGTTCAGATTTAATCTGCTTCTGTAGGTCAGATTTAGAAGTTTTTGTTTTCTGGATTTAATTAGATTTTGAACAGAACCAGTTCAGTTTGGACCTCATCAATAAACCAAACGAGATAACATGAAGAACCTTTAGGTTTTATTTCAAACATTGTTAAATTTAAAAAAGCATTTGGTATAAAAAAACTATTGTTGTTAATAATCATAATTTTAATGTTAATCTTAGATCTCTTTAATCTCCATGCTGGTCCTGAAGCCGCTCTATTTAAATCAAACAACAAACATATCATAAAATAATTTAAATAATCAAAAATAGATTATTTTATGTGATGATATCATTCAGATTAAAATTTATTTTAAAACATCAGTTAAGTTTTTGCTCTAAAGCTACTGATAGATCCTGTTGGGTGGTCACAGATGCACGCACGTGCACACGCACACCAAGCCGACAAAAACCCCACAGCGTCCACATTTATTACCCCCGAACACACACAAAGAATACATGTCAGGCCGTTTGGAGTTGTCATGGTGTTAAAAAGATCAGCTTAATATTCATGAACGCACACACACACACACACACACACACACACACACACACACACACACACACACACACACACACACACACACACACACACACACACACACACACACACACACACACACACACACATTAATTTCCAGAAAAGTGTCAACAATTGATTAGCTCTGAATCCTTTGTGTTTTGCTTTATGATGCAGTAATAGCTAGTCTTTACTGTTTAAGATAGAAGTGTTCATACCCCGCAAACATTGTCACAACAGCAACGCCGTGCTGGCCAAAAATGGTCGGGGTCGGACGTCCTAAATTTGTTAAAACATGTGTGACAGAAAATTCCAAAAAACCCATTCAGATATGTTTGTCAACATGTAAAAATGTTATTTTGACAATATAAGTCCCACCCCTAATTTACAGGTGCTGGCCAGTAAATTAGAATATCATCAAAAGGTTGAAAATATTTCAGTAATTCCATTCAAAACGTGAAACTTGTACATTATATTCATGCAATGCACACAGACCAATGTATTTCCGATGTTTATTACGTTTAATTTTGATATTTATAGGTGACAACCAATGAAAACATCAAATCTGGTATCTCAGACAATTAGAATATTCTAAAGGCCAATGAAAAAATGTTTGTTTCTCTAATGTTGGCCAACTGAAAAGAATGAACATGAAAAGAATGTGCATGTATAGCACTCAATACTTAGTCGGGGCTCCTTTTGCCTCAATAACTGCAGTAATGCGGCGTGGCATGGACTCGATCAGTCTGTGGCACTGCTCAGGTGTTATGAGAGCCCAGGTTGCTCTGATAGTCGTCTTCAGCTCCTCTGCATTGTTGGGTCTAGCGTATTGCATCCTCCGCTTCACAATACCCCATAGATTTTCTATGGGGTTAAGGTCAGGCGAGTTTGCTGGCCAATCAAGGACAGGGATACCATGGTCCTTGAACCAGGTGCTGGTGGTTTTGGCACTGTGTGCAGGTGCCAAGTCCTGTTGAAAGGTGAAGTCTGCATCCCCATAAAGTTGGTCAGCAGCAGGAAGCATGAAGTGCTCTAAAACTTCCTGGTAGACGGCTGCATTGACCCTGGACCTCAGGAAACAGAGTGGGCCAACACCGGCAGATGACATGGCACCCCACACCATCACTGACGGTGGAAACTTTACACTGGACCTCATGCAACGTGGATTCTGTGCTTCTCCGCTCTTCCTCCAGACTCTGGGTCCTTGATTTCCAAAGGAAATGCAGAACTTGCTTTCATCAGAAAACATAACTTTGGACCACTCAGCATCAGTCCAGTCCTTTTTGTCCTTGGCCCAGGCGAGACGCTTCTTGCGCTGTTTCTTGTTCAAGAGTGGCTTGACACACGGAATGCGACACCTGAATCCCATGTCTTTCATGAGTCTCCTCGTGGTGGTTCTTGAAGCGCTGACTCCAGCTGCAGTCCACTCTTTGTGGATCTCCCCCACATTTTTGAATGGGTTTGTCGTCACAATTCTCTGCAGGGTGCGGTTATCCCTAGAGCTTGTACACTTTTTTCTACCACATTTTTTCCGTCCCTTCGCCTGTCTGTTAATGTGCTTGGACACAGAGCTCTGCGAACAGCCAGCTTCTTTAGCAATCACCTTTTGTGTCTTGCCCTCCTTGTGCAAGGTGTCAATGATTGTCTTTTGGACAGCTGTTAAGTCAGAAGTCTTCCCCATGATTGTGGTGCCTTCAAAACAAGACTGAGGGACCTTTTAAAGGCCTTTGCAGGTGTTTTGAGTAAATCAGCTGATTAGAGTGGCAGCATGTGTCTTCTATATTCAGCCTTTTCAGAATATTCTAATTTTTTGAGATACCAAATTTGGAGTTTTCATTAGTTGTCACTTATGAATATCAAATTTAAATGTAATGAACATTGGAAATACATTGGTCTGTGTGCATTGCATGAATATAATGTACAAGTTTCACGTTTTGAATGGAATTACTGAAATATTTTCAACCTTTTGATGATATTCTAATTTACTGGCCAGCACCTGTATACAGTTATCTAGTTACAATCAGTAATCAGTTACAATTTATAACCTATAGGGCGTGTTGTGATCTGTGCATGGACATAATTGTCACTTTAGAAGTGGGGGGGACACGGTGGTGGGAGGGTGTATATTTACAGTATGTTCTAATGGGAAACAGGCTTCAACACAAACAGTTGTTTTCTGCTTGGTCCTAGAGCTCAACCAGTGTCAATTTAATATAGTGTAATATTGTTTTTGGATGGTGAAAAATGCAGGGGTCAACGCTTGACTTTGGAAAAAGTGGGGGGGACATGCCCCCCCTGTCCCCCCCCCTCCAAAATTACGTCCATGGATCTGTGGGGGAAACCGGAGTACCCGGAGGAAACCCACGTATGCATGGGGAGAACACGCAACTCCACCCAGAAAGGCCGCAGCCGAGCCGAGTTTCGAACCCGCAACCTTCGTGCTGCGAGGCAACAGTGCTAACCACTGCGCCACCATGCAGCCCACATGAAGCATGAAGTGCAAAGTTCAACTTCTCAATAGGAAGACTTCAGGGTCCTTTTGTGGCGTGCTGAGGCGGTTGTCCAATTGTCAGGGAGCTGATCTTGTCCCCAAAAAGTCCTTCAGGCCCTTGACCGTGAAACCAGTCTGGAGATTTGGGTGCAGGTGCTTGAAGTAGTTGATCCTTTTCCAGCGTCTCTTCTTCGCTGTGTCCTGTTGTAGTTGCGTCCAGGGGGTCTTCAGCCGAGGTGGATGCAGGTTACGTCGTCCTGTAGGTGCGCGGTCAGGGAGGAGCCCCGATCCGTCGTTTCAGTTCCAGTTCTAGTACCCCCTCAAATGCTGCTGTCTCAGTTGTTCCATCAGGTGCTGAGAGGCGGCCCAAGTACAGGGCCATGAGTGCGACCACCAACATCAACAATGTGGTGAACCCAGCAAGCTCGAAGCAGATCTTTATCTTATCTTATCTTGATCTTATCTTCACGGGGTTTGAGAGGTGGCACCCTAGAGGTGGCCCACCCCTTTGTAGTCAGACTTCGTTGCCGCGCTAGAACGGTTAGTTGTCGTTGATGAGCTTGCAGTGGGTTTAGAAGAATCCAAGATGGCCTCTCAGCAATCTTTACAGCAGTGGAAGTAATGAGGAGTACTTCGAATCGACCTCTGGCTGCATCATCTGTTTTGCTTCAGCATCTTCATCAGAACCCAATTTCCTGGTTTCACGACCTGTGGCGAAAAAGCACAAGAAAATTCTGGGAGATCACTGTTGATTTTGAATTGTTTTCAGCAACAGCCAGGCCGTCAAGAATGTGTGTGTGTGTGTGTGTGTGTGTGTGTGTGTGTGTGTGTGTGTGTGTGTGTGTGTGTGTGTGTGTGTGTGTGTGTGTGTGTGTGTGTGTGCGCTCTGTCTTCTCGATCCCCAGTGAGTCGTGGAGGATGGCTGCTTATCCTGAGCCAGGATTCTCTGGAGGTTTCTTCCTGTTAAAAGGGAGTTTTCCTCTCCACTGTCGCTATATGCTTGCTTAGTATGAGGATTGCTGTAAAGTCACTGTCACTAGTCAGTGACTTGATGCAATTTGCTGGGTTCCTTATATAGGAAACATTTTTTCTGATTGGCTTAATGAACTGACCTGAATTGGAATGTTTATTATGTGAAGTGCCTTGAGACGACTCTTGTCGTGATTTGGCGCTATACAGTATAAATAAAATTGAATTGAATTGAATTGAACCTGGCTGAAGGTTAAATTGCAAAGCAGGAACCCAGAATCACAAACCTACAAGATAGTTAAAAAATGCCAAAGCTTTATAGTCAAAACATTACGTTTTTACGATCACAAGGACACAGAAAGCAGCATTTTGCCTCCATTTCTCCACAAAGCAGACAGTAGCCTTAAAAGGCTCGTTGTTGTTACAAGTGTGGGTGAAGTTATGCACAGGGTAAACGTCCACAGAGCTAAAAAGGCATCCTATGATGAGATGCTTCACATTAACTTCAACACATCCACACAACCCAAGATACAAATTAGAGCGCCTGAATCTTTAAATTAGGTTTCTATTAAAACGCAATAAAGAAAGGTTCAGCAATTAATTTAGTAAAAATCCAAAAATCTTCAAGTTGAGGCTCTTTTTGTACTTTGGCTTTTAAAGATTATTTTAAGGTAACTCATCAAATACTTTGCTCTCAAAGAACCAACAAATTATTTAGAAAAGGAAAAATTAAAAAGATAAAAAGCTGTTATAGATTGGGTACCATGCTGGATGTTTAGTTGCACAACACTATCCAAACGCGACACCTGGTGGTG